CATTGGAGAGGTACTCAAAGGGCTCCTGCCCAAATATATTTTACTCTCATCCCTGACTTGAAATTTCTATTTTCACGGCCTCTGAATGCCAGAGCCACCTCACTGGCACAGAGCGAAGACAAGAGAGAAGATAGATGGACATCCATCCAAAGTGGATGGACAGAGCAGGTACTTGAAGAGGCTGGGGACAGAACCAATGTGAAGTCCTAGAAGGAAGTATGCTTTGCCAGGCAGAGAGCAAAGGATTAGATGGACTGAGGGCCGTCAGTGTCAGAAGGGTGACACAGGGCATCCCTCAGGGCCAGTGAATATCTGAAAATCTAGGGGAACATGAATATCATGTATGCTTGTCTGTAGGGACAGGACCCCAGTCACAAAGCTGGGCCTCAGTACTCTTCAGAGGCCTAAGGCAGAGGGAACCATGCACAAGCAGGTTAATAGAACCAGGTGAGGGATGGAGAAGCTGGGATGGTGGTGCCACACACTCACTGGGAACAGTCATAAAACTGGAAATGTCTCTGAAAGGTCCTTTCTAAGAATTCTCTTATCCAACCAGCTCAGCTGGAGAGCAGGTTGAACCCATGGGTGCTCTTGACGGAGGGAGATTTAAGTCAGTACAGAGGCAGCATTTGTCGGGCTGTTCATGGATTAAGCAGCCCAGGGAAGGAAAGTGTGAAATTACCCAGACAGAGAAGTGGGGGAAGAACAGAAAGGAGACCCATGAGGGCACAAGCCAGGGGCTGGGGGGAAGGATGGTGGAGGGGAAGAGGAGCGACAGAGAAGTCAGAATTCACCTACTCATCTGTTCAGATTCATGAACTTTTAAAACGGGAGATGAGATCCTATAACAGAGGAAGATGAGGTGGAAGCAGGGTGGCTTTAGGAATATGACAAGTAATTAAATAGAAGGAAAGCCGGTTGAACTTACCTCCACTAAAGAAGAAAAAAATGATTCAAGTTCCTAACCACTTGTGCGCATAAAATGAGATGAAATGCAAAAACATTTTAAGAGATTAAAAGCATTATTCCAGTGTGATGTGGGTTTCTTGCTACATGAATCGCAGGGAAGGCTGCTCAGAGGCCACCCAGATTACAAGCATAATCCCTGTAGCGTCTTCGCCTGCCATGATTGTTGATTCTCTTTTCCAGGGCGGTCCAGCAGGAGACCTGGAGCAGATTGACAGTTATTTAGAAGCTTTGCTTAAAGAAGATAATCCCCTTTTTCAGAACGCTTTGAATAAAGTGACTACAGATACAGGACACAGTCTCCCTTTAGAAAAACACTGAAAGTACTTCTCAAAATTAAATGTGAGAAAAGATATGCCCTTTTAAAAAAATGCCAGTAAGAAAAAGGAAGATTCTTTTCAAACAGTATTTCCCTTTGTACTCATTATTGTATGGTTTGCCCTGTTTAACTGTAAGAAAATTGTGTGCTTTAGAAATGGAGACTGATTTACAATTTACATATTTGCAGCCCTGTTCCCTAACTCTTCCTGTTATTTCAGAAACTATTTGTAGAGTTCTCCCATTCCCATGTGAGCTAGTAAGAAAGATGGAAATGTCAGTTAGGCTAAATTTTGTTTTCACTTAAATGACTTTGTTTTTGTTTTGTTTTAAACATTTTGTTTCACTTAAATGACTACAAAAACTAGAAAACAGTGGTTTTCAAAATCAGTGTACAAAGGACTACAGTTAAACTTAAAACTTGTGTTGAAAAGGAAAGACCACATGCCCTTTCTCCACTACAGCCATTACTCAGTAATGCAGAAAATATAAATCCTCAGAAACTTTAATATATTGTTTATATGATAATTCTATTGTTGAGTTGGAGTAAAAGTGCAAATCTTCTAACTATAATGTGAGCATATATTATACATGTGTAAATTGTGTTTTTACATTTTCCTTGATAACTGATTATTTTTTTAAATTTAGATATGTCTACAACTTTGGACAAAAGCAATAAAACATTTAATATTTGTGGAATTGTGTAATTTTAATTTTATGTACATACACATAATGCAAAATTCAGACCATGTGAGATGGAATATGGTGGAAGGTCTTCGCTCCATCCTTGTCTTTCTTTTTTTTTTTTTAAGTTTATTTTTTTGAGAGAGAGAGAGAAGAGGGAGAGAGTGTGAGTGGGAGAGGGGCAGAGAGAGAGAGAGAGAGAGAGGGAGAGAGAATCCCAAGCAGGCTCCTTGCTGTTCTCCCTGTTTGACATGGGCCTCATACCCGTGAACTGCGAGATCATGACCTGACCCGAAATCGAGAGTCAGACTCTCAACTGACAGAGCCCCCCCAGCCCTCTGGTTTTGTAGTCCTATTTAGAGAAGACATTCAAATGCTGAAAGTAGAAAGAAATTTTTCCTTGTTATAGTGGTTTTAGTCATTATATTATTAAATATTTAATTTATCTAGAATTTATTTTGGTGAAAGGAGTAAGTTAAAAATCCAACTGTGTGTGTTTCCAGATAGATACAGTATTGTCCTCAAACTGTTAATTGAAAAATCAGTCTCTTCCCCATTGATCTGCACTGCCACGTTTACTGCATGTCAAATTCCTATTTGTATTTGGGCTGAGTTCTGTAAAAAATGTCTATTATTTTTCATTGATTGTTCCATCTTTTCTCACATTGGACCCAAGTTGTTTTGGTAGGGATAGTCAATAATTTTATATTTGAGAATTTTCTTTTGTATCTTTGCATGTTTAATCTTATCCAGACTTAGAATTAGCTTTTTTAGTCAATACTCACCCCTCCCCTCAACCTTTATTTGCATTTTGTTTGGTGTATGGTGGTATGATAGATTAAGGTAGAATTGCCTTTTTCAAATATCAAGTCTTTCTACCCCAAACCAAAATATGCCTTTTTGTATGTTCAAGTCTTTATTGGTACCCTGTATTAGCATTTAAAATTTTTCTTCAAATATGTCCAGCACATTCTAGTTAAATTTATTGTAATTTAGATTTATTCTTTGACCTTTTATAAATGAAGACTTTTCCCCATTATCTTATAACTAGTTAATGTTTTATGTAGCAGGATTCCTGAGTTTGGGATATCAATATTGTATCCAATATAAGAATTCTTATACTATTTGTAATAGTTTTAAACGTTTTTTTTCTGTATCAGCAAGTAATCATTATGCAGATTTTTTGAAAAGCATAATTTACATGAAGAAACACAGTTTCCAGATCTCAGGTCCTTGTATTCTTGATTTATCCAAAATTTTCCTTCCAAGGGGATTTTCTTGGCCCCTTGAAAACTTTCATTACCTTCCTCTTGCATCATCAGTAGCCATTCTTTTTTTTTTTTTAACTAAAAATTGGTGATTAATAACTGTTAATGGTGATAAGAAGTCAATGCCTCTGAGCATCCTGGCAAACCATTGGAGACTGCACAGGGACTTCCCCAGAGACTGGCTTTGGAAGATTGTAGCAGGACCCTCCTCCTATTTCCTACCAGGACCTAGTCCTATTATCTCATCTTCTTTCTTTTTACTCTGCCTAAGAAATCTCACCTACTCTAATGGTTTCAAGTAATACTTATAAGTGAAGGTGTTCCAAATTTCGATAACCTTACTGAACACATGTTATTTAACTGTAATTATGGGTTCAAATTTTTTTCTACTTAAAGTCTACCTTGGTATGTGTGAAACAAAATTAATCATATATACCCTAGCCACCCCCATTTCCTGTCAAGGCCCCAAAGGCTCCAGTTCTTGGGGAACCTGGGGTTTTGAATAGGTAATAAGTTAGGACTAAGGAATAGTAACTTAAGAGAGAAACCGGACTTAGGAACTGAGTCAATATGAGAATTGGGGGAAAAATGGAGTGAGGTTAGGAGGGGATAACCATGCTTGGGACCAAATGACCCTAGGTGGAAAGAATGTAATTCTGTTACTCCTACGTATGGTTGGCAGCAAGATGGCTTGCTTGCCACATCACACAGGTCACTTCCTTTCCATTACTGGACCATGGATACGGTTCTTATGCTCATTTGCTCAGTTTTCAATTCCTGTGCAACTGGGGCTTGACTCAGACAAGATTAGCTTGGGAACTGGAGTGGGACAAAGTTAGCAGGCAGAGGGCCTGGGTAGAAGCGGATTTGAAAGACAGAAAATACAGAAACGGAAAAAAAAAGAAAAAGATGAGGTGCCTGGGTGGCTTAGTCTGTTGAGCATCCGACTCTTGATTTCGGCTCAGGTCATGATCTCACAGTCCATGAGATAGAGAGCCCTGCATAGGACTCTGTGCTGCCAGCGTGGAGCCTACTTGGGATTCTCTCTCTGCCTCTCTCTTTGCCCCTCCCTGGCTGTGTGAGCATGCCTGCATACACACTGTCTCAAAGTAAAGAAGAGAAAAGCAATGCCAACGACAGCTCAACATGTCCCTTTATCTGCAGACTGCCTATCACATCAACAACATTTTTACTGCTGATAATATGGTTATCTCTACCCATTTCCCTCTTCTCTGCAGAGACTTCCTTTAAATTTAGCAATACTCAATGTATAATTTTTCCACGGTTTTAATAGTTTTTACATCTAAATTTATTTTCACAATATTTAGGTATGAAAAAGCAAATATCCTTGTTACTGTTTTACAGATGAGAACAGTGAGACTGTAGAAACTAAGTAATGTTTTAGTCCCAGGCTTCCTGAATGCAACTCAGAGTTCCTTCCATTAGACCCCCCCTCCTCAATGTAGGCATAATTGATGGCTAACAATATGGCAAGGACAATGCCTCTGCCCTTCACAGAAAACTGTATCTCTGAATGGCAGCACAATCCCATCAGTTAGCGATAAATGACCTAGTCTTAAAACTGTACAGATGAGTTAATCTCACTGGCTTTCTATTCTTATTTAGCCTATAGCTGTAAGAGGGTTAGACTAGCTTTCTAAAGGCATATGTTAGCCTCCAGTTCTAGTGAACAAGTGAGGAACTAAATTGGGAGAGACCATACGTGAAAACAACCTGAGAAAAAGCTGCAGACCGTGAATCACGATGGGAAATAATGAATCCATAGCTGGTGGTCAGAAAGCAGTTCCTGCTAAAGAGACCTATGTGTGGTACAAAAAATTTATGAGGGAATATCCATCCGGCCTGCAAACACTGCATGAATTCAAGACACTCTTGGGTCTGCAAGGTCTGAATCAAAAAGCCAGTCAACATGTTGATCAAGTCTATAATACCTTTGACATGAACAAGGTAAGTCCTTTACTTTTTATTTGGCAATGGTTCTGCATTTTCCCCTCTGTAAAAATATGAAATAGCCTGAGGTAAAACGTGTGCATCTCACTGAACAGGGAGGTCTTCAGAGAACCCACAGCTTGTAGGTAAGTGAGTCATTAAACACATTTAGCACTGACGGCATGAAAGTAATTGGGAACTAGCCTCTCCACCCTTGGAAATGTTCTGCATGTAGCGAGTTATTTTAAAACCAAATTAAATCTCGGCGTGGAATTCTAATGCTATCGTTTAAACAAATCTAATAAGTGCAGATTGATTTACAAAGACTGTTTTCAAAGTATTTAATGCGTTGGTGACATTTTATAGAAAAGCAAATTACAGGAATCTGCTTTAAAAAGTGTGATTGCATCTAGATTGGCAGGTAAAATCAATACAAATTTGCCAACGTGTTGTTTGTACTCAGAAGTTGGAATGCTGGAATAGTTTTTCATATCTGACCAATTTAGTTGGAGGAAAAACAAAACAATTTACAGTTTTAAATTCAGATAAATTTTAGTTTCTAAAGATTGTCACTGAACTATTGTCTTGAATTTACTCACTCCTAAGGAGTTGCAGCATATTTAGTTTTCAAGTCCTGAAAAAATACAAAGATGAGGAGAAAAAAAATGGGGAACAGAAAAAAATAAGACAAAAAAGTAACAATCTGACCAACCAGGCCAGAATTCTTCCTGCCTACTTTTCCTTGTGCATTTCAGTTGTTTTTTACCTGTATATTTCAAAATGGGCTGATGCCATCTAGAATAAAAGGGAAAGGGGAAATACCACTCACTGAAAAATAGATGACTTTAGAAGGCTGTGTGTGAGAATAGATGAGGCAGAAGTGGTAATTAAAACAATTGACTGTCCTTTGGGATGTATGGAATCTAGAACAGCCCTTTGAGCCCTTTTCCAAATAAAAACAAACAAACCAAAACAATAGATAACTTAAAAGGAGGTACCAGCCAAGAACTAGGGAAAACTGAACGTGTGCAAAATTAACAGCTATTTTAATTCTTGTAATAATGTTGGGAGCAGATTTCTTTCAGGACATTGTCTTTTAGGACATCTTCTTTGTCATCAAGTGTGAGTGAAACACTGCCTGCTTAGTATGACGGTGTTTTCCTCCTCATAAATTTGACTTAGTGTGGATGCAAACAAACTGTTCTGCCCCCAAGGAGTTTACAAATCAGTGGGAAAATGAGGCAGATTCTGCTTTTGTTCTTGACATTGAAACATGTTCTAGATATGCTATGAGCTGAATTTTTGTGCTCCCCCAACCTTAAAACCGCTTATTACTTTAACAGCAAATATGGGATTAATTGGAAATAGAAAATTGCAATTTTGGATAAGCAGGCTATGGCAAAGCCATAGGCAAGTATGCAGAGCAAAGGAGAGGAACGCTCTAGTACAGAGCAAAGGGTGAAATCAGGAAGGCTTTTATAAACAAAAAGTCGGTTGGAGTAAACTGGGAGTTTGAGGTATAGTGGCTTTTTATTGTCTCAGTTGTTTGTGACAACATCTCATTGGCTGGGTTGTTGCCAGGGTCAAGGGGTGGGGCCCTTTTTCCTCCTGCTGGGGTGGTAAAGAAGTAGAATCAGCAAGCAAGCAAGATGCAGTCTCTTCCAGTTGGGTCAGCAGCTGACAAGGAGTGGTAGGGTGTGTGAGCTCCCCCTGCTAGCCTCCCGACTCCATTCTAAATGAGGTTTCCTTTTTTATCCGTCACAAACTTAAATTATGGTGAAATCTAAACCACTCCCCACCCATATTATAGTATTTGGAGGTGGGGTCTTTGGGAGGTAATTAGGTCATGAGGGCAGAGCCTTCATGATTGGGATTAGTGGGATTACAAAGAGACAGACCCCAGAGGGTTTCCTCCTTCATGTGAGGACACAGTGAGAAGGCTGATTGTCGATGAACCAGTAGGTGGGCTCTCACCAGACACAGACTCTGCTTGAGCCTTGATCTTGAATTCCCTCACTTAAAGTACTGTGAGAAATAAATTTCCGAGTGTTTTAAGCCACCCAGTCTATGGTATTTTTGTTATAAGAGCCTGAAGTGACTAGGACAGGGCACAGTGTGCATGTTGGCATGTTGTCTCTCTGTCTCTGCCTACGTATGAATCTCGCAGCCTTCGCTGCCTTTCTCTCTGCCGTTGTATGTTTCGCTCTTTGTGTGGCTGCTGCTGTCCCACTGTGCCTGCTGCCTGCTGTAAGCAACCCATTTCACAGTGGAAGTCTTTTACTCTAGATTGCAGCTTCTCAGACTCTGACAGAACTCCCGAGAGGTTAGAAGATGAGCTATTAGCAGGGTTTTTTTTTTTTTAGTTATTCTTCAAAGTAACTGGTGACATATCCCATGCCAGAGATTTTGTTGTTAACCCAATGTTTGTGGAAGCACTGCATGTCAGCGGTTCACATGCAAGAACAGGAACATGTGACAAGGAGCGCTGGGCAGAAACCAGAAGTGTTGTCAAAACGAAGCCTGCTGCCGAGGCAGCTGGGGCAGACAGTGTTCAGATAAGCAATCTGGGCGTGTGTGCCATTGGAGTGTCCTCTCGGGGCCAGTCGTGGGACGGCCAAGCCCATCTCAGGAGCTTCATTTAAATGACTTGGAAGGTCTGCTGGTATTCATGATTTATCATCGAGATTTTATGTTTGCTTAGGAAGCAAGCAAATCTAGGCAGTGATGACTAATGCCACACAAGGTGTGGGGATCTTGATATAAAATCAGGTTGTAAAATGAGAAGAGTAAGGATGGTTCTTTATCAAGTGACAGTAAGAAATGATATGCAATTAATGCACAGGAAAACAAAAAAGCCATATATTTAATTAGATCAATAAAACTATCAGCTGCCCAGCACCGTGGAGGATTTGCTCTTTCTTGGAGCTCCGCTGCAGTGTTAGCTATTCTGGATGGAAATCATTCCAGAGTGCATTTCATACTTTCCTGCCTCCTCAAAGTACCGGTAAAACCTTTTTTGATATCAGAGTCATTGTTATGAGCATTGGTTGTTACGTTTTTGGAATACCACGAAGCAGCCATGCCTATTGAAGTTGCTGGGGCTAAGTTTCCTGTTGTTACAAATCCTGAAAATAATGTGCTTTTGTCATTTTTGCTTTTTATTGTTTTTCTCTTTCCCTGCTGTCAAACACACCTTTCCCAGCTTTCTGATTGTTCTAATAATAATGAGCTTCCAATCTTTTTACTCTGCCATTTCTCACCTGGCTTTGGCTTGTACTCAAGTTCACTAAACATACTGGAATAGTGCTTAAAGTGGAAATAAATCCTAAAGTTTAGACTGTAAAGTTTATAACAATTCCTTTGACTAATCACACACCCTTGTAAGCATCTCCTTGTCGCTCGGTAACAATAGTGTTTGAGATGTGTCTGACACTGTTTTAGGCACAGTACATAGACTAACGCATTCAACATCACAGAATTAATAGAACCTGCTTTAAGGTAGCGGCCATAAATTTGGCACCTCAGACCTTCCCAGAAGGTAATTGACCAGGGCCCCAGTGCACAGCTTTGAAATCCTTCACCGCATGCACAGAGTCCGTGCTTGGGTTTAGGTTATCCCCAATGTTGGAGTGCAGCAGGAATAATAAAGCCAACCCATTCTTAAGATGCAGGATTCCTTTGTCAGCAGGCTTTAACTAAAGGATTCCCTGGTGGCTTTGTCAAGCTGTAGGTTTCAAGAGTGCCTAGGACACTTCTGTCCAAACTTCTTTTACACTCTTCTTTAGCTGGGTCGGATTAGCTCACTCAGCCTTTCCTGACATCTTTCCTGCTTACTTCCACACACCATTTCTCCAAATAAAATCTTTAAATTGGGATTAATAGGTCTAATATCCAATGAATAAGAGTCACAGAAAAAGAGCTCAGAGAGAATGTAGGGTTATAACAAAACAAACCAGAAAAATTTTCCAGACCTATTGGACACATGTTTCACAAGGGCCCAGTACAATAAATAGAGATTGACTGACAGCATTTGCATAGATTTTTTTGTTTTGTTTTTTTTTTTTTTTAAGAGAGAAAATGCATGGGGGAGAGGTGCAAAGCAAGAGAGACAGAATCTCAAGCAGGCTTCACGTGGAGCCTGATGCGGGGCTTGATCCCACAACCTGGGGATCATGACCTAAGCCAAAATCAAGAGGGGTATCTCAACCAACTGAGCCACTCAGGCACCCTGAGAAAAAATATTAAAAAAAAAAAAATTTATGTTTAGTACAGACAGAGTGTAAGTCGGGGAGGGGCAGAGAGAAAGGGAGACACAGAATCTGAAGCAGGCTCCAGTCTGCCAGCACAGAGCCCGACAGGGGTCTCAAACGTGTGAACCATGAGATCATGACCTGAGCCAAAGTCGGACACTTAACCAACTGAGCAACCTAGGTGCCCTCTGAGAAAATTTTTAAACAGGGATAAAGAGATGATCCTAAAATCTAAAAAAAAAAAAAAAAAAAAAAAAAAAAAAAAAAAAAAAAAATGAAAGTCAAAATAACATTGAACTTCCTAATACCTACACTAAAGACTTAAGAGTAAATGGAGAAACGCCTCCAAAATTCTGAGGGTGAAAAAAAAAGCCAAATCAAATGTAAGGAGAGAATAAAAACAGGCAGTGACTAAAAAAATTCCTTCACATTTATTTTTTCTAAGGAAGCTATTGGAGCAGGTACTTCAGCAAAAAAGAGGGAGTGTGTCAACAAAGAGAGAGAGAGTGAATCCAACATAGGAAAACAGATATGGACAGTCTTGGGTCATGGAGATGAAAACTCCAAATCAACAGCTATACAGAAACCTCAGTGTACTGCTAATCCAGATTGTAAAGGGAGAAGGGGGACTCTGGGAGAAAGACCTGAAAAAAATGACACCGATAGATTATCTATTGTGCTTGAGGATTTCAAAAACAATATAAATTTACTAATTTATATTTAACCAATCTGACGGTCCCTTTAAAAAAATTAACAAGGTGAAATACA